CATATTTTTAATATAAAATATTGTGTTTAAATATTAACAAGTCTTTTTACATTTTTCCCACAATTTTTCTTATACAATGTAATACTGAGAATACTCGAATACCCAAATACTGTGAATTTAAAATCGTTAAACCCCGTAGTATTAAAAAGTATTAAAAAGTGGATGCTAACTCCTTTAACAAAAGAGATTTTAGGTTATGGAACTCCTTCAAACCTAAAAAAATATACATCAACATAGTATTAAAGAATATCTTCTTATTATTATTATTTCTACTATTTGAAAAAATCATTAAGATAACCTTCATAATTTCACAAATTCCCCTAGAATTATATAAATGATATTTGTTTCTTAACAAATAACTAAAAACAACAAATAGCAGCAAAATTATAAAAAAAATACTACCACAAAAATATGTATAAAGAGTAAGAAAAAAGAAGGACACAAAAAAGAAAATGATATTGCTATGGCAAATCATCATCATTATGTGTGAATACGAATAATATTAAAATAAAACGATGAAAAACCTCACAATTTTATGGATAATGTGTTCGTGTTGTTGGTAGATATATATGTAATTATTGTAAATAATTGTCATTTAAAAAGAAAGAATACACACAGCATTAGACATGTATATGTAAGAAGATATGGTGGCTTTAAACAGTATATAATAAAAAATGAATCGATTAGTATTTAAAAATATTTTTATAATATGTAAACATAGATATTCTGGTTTATAAAATAATATTTCAAATTAGAATATAACTGTTAAAATTTTGTGTAGTTAAAAAAATAATTAGATTCAAAATAAAATACAATTCTAATAAAATAATTTTCCGAAAAATATACCAAAAATCACAAAACAGGATTATGTTAGCAAAGCATATGTAAGTAAAAGTGATGATGAATGTTAATAATGAATGTTTTCCATTGATTTTGCTTTGATTAAAAACAATATTTAAAAAAAAATACATATAAAGACATTCTTCTAATGTTACCGAAAAGTAGCTTAAATATATATAAAAAAAATTAATTAAGATAAAGGCAGAATTAAATTAATAGTTTTTGTTTCTAAATATATGTATGAAAAAGATACAATAGTTTTATGGCAACAATAAAACCCCAATAAAATGTCTGCATTATCTCTTTTGGAATTTTTCTACTATATTATTTGATTTTTTTTGTTCTAATTACAAATAAAAACATGAATTTTCAAATTCATTTTTTGACTTTTTATATTTACTGTCATAACTCTCATTAAAATTATTGTTTTGGAAAATATTTTCAAAATCCGTATCACAAAGACTCTTCTTATTAATACATATAATATCTTGACGGCAAACTATTCGAAAAAAAAAATCCGTTTGGAATCATGGCAATCCATTTGGAATCAAGTTTAGTGCGAAACATATAAATATTGAGCTAGATTAAGCGGGAATTTTGTACATCATATTTCTAAACTGTGATATTGTTAATCAAAGTGCAGACTATGCCAAAATAATCTTAATAAAATGGCTAAATAGATAAATCCACAACACAATTTTACTCTGGTTTCTCAAACATCAGGTCTATAACTCAAAAATCGAATTGCGGGACTAGTGAAAATATGTCGTTCACGAAAAGGACTTTTTTCGTATCTGGGTGATACATACATTACATACCCGACCCAGACCTTAGAGTTTCTGGAAGCATTGCAGAAGGATTGAATCAGGTAAGAGTTGCCTAATTTATGTGTTCAGAGACACATTTTATTATTATTTTAGATCGAATCTATAAGTGCCATTAAGGAGACAAATGATGGATGAAATCAATACGTCTTTTTTAAAACTACAATGTAACATTTCCAATTTGAAGATATAATATATAAATACAATTGACTAAAAATGACTTTTATATCTTCCAAAATGCCCTTGGCACTTATATTCATACGAGATTTTTATTCATTTTTTTTTTCATTTCACTACAATTTATTTGTTGCATCAATATATTTATTGAGGTTTTACATAAATTTAGTTTAAAGGCTTTATTTATTGTTAATAAAAGAATTTCTAAATACAAATATGTACGTAAATAAGCCAAATTATTTGAATGCTTAATATTTTGATAATAAAAAGGCCAAATAATTGTTATTTTCATTAAAAGTTATTACAATAGAACTGGATTCTAATACATTAAGGTGGCAGGCATAGGGGGTGGTGGGTAGTAAATGGTTTATGTTGTCTTTGGAATAAATTTGGAGATGTTTTTGCTATTGGTTCATTTGGGCTTAATTAAATACATATAAATGGTCTTTTAGTTTGATTTTTTATCTTAAAAAAATTATATATACAGACGTCTTTTTTTTGTTTGGTTCAATTCGAAGGAGGGTAAAAAACACAAAATTTTGTTGGTAGCTTCAATTTTTTTTGTTCAAACGAAAAAAAAAAAAAACAACAAAATTATGTTGTTTACATGAATAGGATGCGTTTTTGTTGGTTTTTTAAGGAAGGGCTGAAGGATTTACATATATAAACAGTATAAAAAAAAATAAAAATAATGTAATAATGAGAAAAAAACATAAAAACAAATTTTGTTTTGTTTTTGTTTTAAATACTAATCGATTCCTTTTTTTTGTATTAAACTTCTTCTCTTTCAAACGAAAATATAATAGAAAGTTCATAAAAAACATTACATACACACATACATTTCTCAAAAAAGAGCTATCCATAGAGAAAGACAAACAAAAATATAATAAACAATTGATATGATAATAAAAATAAATTGATATGATTTATGTACTTGTTTGATGTTATTTAAGAACAAAAAATACAAGAGTGGGAGAAGAATGTGTAAGAGTTATGTGAATATTATATAAGTGAAAAGAAATGTAAAAAACATAGATTGAAGAGAAGTTAGAAAAACCATAGACAGTTTTGCAGCAAATATATAACAGTACTAATAGAAAAAACATGCACTCAATTTCATGTCTTCACTTTTTTTTAAACAACACCTATTCCTAAGCAGAAACAATCAATCACACAAAAATATGAGATTTCATCAATAATTGCTTTAAGATAATATACTATCTTCTTTTGCTTTGAACGTGATTTCAATTTAAAATGCATTTGACTTTACTTTAATCTTTATTTATTTTCTTTTTTTCTTGTTGTTAAAAATAAAATACAAAAAATAAACAAAAAACACACACAGAGTTCAATTAACGGAAAATCTTAATATTTAGCAAAAAAAGAGAAAAAATTAAAACGAAAAAACTAAAAAGACAGACAAACAATTAATTTATGTTGTTTGTCTTTTTGTGTTCGAAACTAAAAATTAAAATTATTATTATTAGGAAAAAAGTGTATTTATTGTTCTCTTTAACATTTTTGTTTCTCTAAGCATAGAAGTTGTTTAAAAAATAATAAAAACAAAAACACATAAAACTAAAGGAAAATATAAATTTTTACTAAAATAAAGTTAACAATTTCCATTTTAAAACTTAAGATTTTACATATTTTTACTTAAAATAAAAAAAATTATATAATATTAGCTGTTTAAAGTAAGGCTATTAACTAAGGTAGAAAAGTAACTAAATTTTTAATGTGTTAGCAGTTATTATTATCGGGATTAGATAACCAGTTTTGCAGTTGCGTTATGTCAAGTCAGATAATTGGAATTGTAGGAATGCATATCGTAAGTGATTATGGGCTAGGTAGGAATGTCAAAGACAGCGCTTTAAATATAATACTAAATCATTCCTCATTTTTATGGAAAAAACATTTTTCTATTCACGTTTTAACAGGAAAGGAATCATCTGACGACATCTATTGGGGAATAGTTTAATTATTCAATAGGTCTGTAGTATTAAACATAAGTTTGACATTCAAATGGGATTGAAAGAATGGGTCATTTCCAAGCGTGTTTTGAAAATGTTTGAACATTTCGTGGTTTTTGTAAAAAATCATTTTGCCATATTTGCATTGACAAATTCTAAATTACTTATTAGAAAACAAAATGTTATTATCTATAGTTTATATAGAAATTAATCATATTCAGAAATCTTTATGTTCACTATTCATTTGATACAGGCAAATGAAAGAAATAAAGTTTTAAAATTAATGCAAAAAGAAAAAGCTCAACATGAATTCATGGAAAACAAATGAAAATGCTTAATAAATCAAGGTTTTTTTGTTCAATTCAAACGTCTAACGGATTTTTTAAATATATATTTTAGTGAGTGCCTAACGAATTGAATGCATTCCCCTAATTCCATAACTTTGTTAATATGTTGCATCTGATGTGGGAATTTTATTTTTAATATAGATATAGAACCCCATATAAAATGCAGCATATAAAAAATATTGAACATCTGACGACTGTGCTAACTGTGTGCGTGTGGCGATGGTTGGTTTGGTAGGACGCATTAGAAGACAAAAGTGCATTGATAGTCCAATAATAATTATGGTTATAGAAAAACAGCATTAAAGATGTAAATGATAACATACAGATGTACGCATGTATTATAGTACTTAATGGAGCAGAGAAAAAGAAAAACAAAAAACTATTTTGTTATAAAAACTAAGACACAAAATTATAAACTATAAATAAAAAAATAAAACATAAATGATAGTATTAAAACAAAATATTACATAGTCTTTTTGTGTGTACTGAGTAGTATTTGATAGTTGTTTTGTTTTTTTTATAATATGTACTAATACTAATTATTGTAGAGAGTTAAATTAAATTAAAAATGTAAATCTTAAAATAATAATTATAATATAGTAGTGTATGGTGTAGTGGTGTGGTTTAAATCATGTTGTTTTTAGCTTTTTCGGGGAGGAGGGAGAAGAATTTGTTTGGTTTTTTTGTATGGTCGAATCATGAACTCATTGTCTTCGAATTGTTTTGACAATGCAATAACAAAAAACAGTAAGTGGTAGTAGAGTGTGTGAGAGAGAGTGAAAGACATAGATTGATTGATTGGTTGGTTGTTTGTTTTGTTTGGTTTTAATGTTTTTTCTCACCTGGTAAATTTGGTAGCGGTTTGGCGTGCTGAGTGCCACGAGCGCTGGGACGTATTTGTCCCACCCCACGGACCCCCCCGATTGCTGCCTGAGCCCCCTGAGCGGTGGCCCCCCGTTGAGCTGCCACCGCCGCCGCCACCACCGCCGCTTGAGGGGCCCCCTGACGATTGATGTTGCCACGGAGCCCAACGGTTCGGCCACGCGCCGTGATTCCACGCCCACGGCCAACCCCCTGCATTGCACAAATGCACATACACACATACATTTAATTTATTTTACGAGTACCAGCAAAAAGCCATATAGCAGTAGTTAAGAAGGCATCATCATCATCATCGTCATCAATTACCATTTCGATCGCCGACATCCACGTGGAATTTTATTCATGGTATAATATCCAAGGAGGGAAGGTCCATTTTAAGCCATTTTTCATTCAAACCATATTTGATATATATTCGTATTATATAAAGTATATATATGGATCGCCAAGTTTTTTGTTACAATTTTGTTTTTGGGTGGGGCGGTATTAATTTTGTTGTTGATTTTTTTTTTTAAATTAATATTAAAAATATAATTTGGAAATGATTTATATTTATAATTGTTTGGAAAGGAAAGACAGAGGAGGATATTTTAAATAAAATAATAATGATGTTTAATGAGTTGAGATTTTCAAGTTGGGGGACATTGTGAGGGTGGGTAATCATAATTTTGTTGTTTTTTTTTTTGTATGTTTTTCGTTTTAATTGTAAAGACCAACGCAATAATAACAATTTGTTAAGAATTTGGGGTAATATTTCAACGGTTTGATGCCATCAATTCAAATTGATTATGTGAAGGGAGAGTAGATAGAGACATTACATATTTTTTTTTTTTTGGTTGAATACATAATTTTATTTGACGAACATATATATAATTTTTTTAAGACGATTTTTATATAGTATCGTTTGCGTTTACCGACATTGTTTGAGATTGAGAGAGAGAGAGAGTATTTAACATAAAAAAGAAAAAAGAAAAAGAAAAAAACAAAATCGATAATGAACGCGTTAGAGATTTGGTTTTAGTGTTAAAGTTTTTTTGTTTTAACAACTTGTAGAAAAAAATTATATTCATACATATGTTATAGAGTATAATACAATGAAGTTGTTTTGTTTTTCATTCTAAATTATTTCATGATTTTAACAAACTAAAAAACAAAATACAAATATTAAAAATAGATAAGGAAATAAAATGTAAAATATAAAGAAAAAGTATATATGTAAAATAAATAAATAGCAATTCAATGATTTGGGTTTTTATGTGTAAACACTTTTTTCATTTTACAATATAAAAATTATTGTAATAATAAAATTAATATCCATAAACTAATATAACTAATTGTACCAATTAGCAAAATTAATAATATCACTAATATTTTGCTTTTTTAGATTCTTGTAAAAGTAAAATATGAATTAAAATATATAAATTGAAATATATAAAAAAGCAATAATAAAGCTGCGAACATAAAAGCTTTTGTAATATATGTAAGGAATAAAATATATAATACTAATACTATTTTATGTATGCATGTTTATCAAAACGAATACATTTTATTCCTTACTTTTGCATAGCTATAAAATTTAATATTAAAACGTTGCTTGGTTTTATTGCCTTTTGAATATTAATTTCAAATTTTTAAATTTCTTTGCATACTCTGAGGATGATGTGAAATCGTAAACTTTTTTTCTTAACGAGAATATTTTAAAGGTCTGATATTTTAAATAATATCCATGTGGCAATCAAAGTTTGTAGGAACTTTAAAATGAATTTAAATATGTACATTTCAACTTGATGTAATTGAAAATTTCAGTTAAAACGACAAACTATTGAATCTTATGGTTAGTTTCCACACAAATGCCATTTGAATTTGTTTAATATTGAATACAATAATTTGGTTCCAAAAGTTATTTGAAATTGCTTAATTTAACATAAATTTAAAGCGCCCAAGTGAGCTTTTCGAATGCGTACATCTCCTTATATATTTATCAGGGATCGGAGGAGCTATAACAACATATTTTCGGTTAATATGTAAATTTAAGTTTGGATCCCAACAGACAATAATAATGCTCATCCCTGATGGGATAGATTGTGAAATCAAGAATTTACCCACAAGATATAATTTTAGGTTGATCTCCATTAAAAAAATGTCCACTTTTATATCATTAACAAATTATGTTCAAAAGACAATAAAACAATAACTTAAATTAATTAAATAAAAACAAAAGAGTTTAACATTATAAATAAATAGCACTTTGGTATTCAGCTCATGAAAAATAAGAATTAACATAGAAAAAAACTTAGCTTAAAAATAATACAAAATAAGCAGTTAAAAAAAATTAGTAAACTTAAAGCAATGAAATATAATTAAAAATCACAAAGCAAAGCGATATTAAAACATAAACAAAAGCAATGAAAAAGTGCAAAAATTAAAATAAAAAGCTTTTTAAAAAAATAGGAACTATTTTGTGGTGTTAGAGTGTGGGAATGTGATGTATAAAAATTAAACCGTTAGGTGATAATGGTATGTGTGAAATGTATAGATATAAAAACTGATAGGTTGGATGGATTGAATGGATCTATGGTTGGTTGTTGTTGGTTTGTTGACTGGTTTGATTGTTTTGCAGTTATTTTAGGTTATGGTTAATCTTGGTCTATGAACGGTTGGTTGGAGAAAACTATTGCATGTGGATGTGGGCAAAGACATAACAGACAACACATTATTGCTGACTGGCTGACTCACTAACTATCGACATTGTTTTTTTTTAATGTAACGAATTTAAACTGAAAATGCTTTGTCAATTTTTAATTTACATAGTTTTTGTCATAATTTTGAAATAAAAGCCTAAAGATTAGTCTAAAGTAAAAACAGGATGAAATTTGAACGCGTAATCTAAATTTGTTGAAAGGAAAATCCATAATTTGCAAATTATTGATTGCATCTGTAGAAATTTTGTTTGGAACAGTTGTTGTAGTTGTAATAATGATTGTGATGTGGTGGTGTAAAATGATGAACAAATTTGATTGGTTGTCCGTGTTCTTTTGGATTTTGGGTTTTTGTTTTTGAAAAAAAGTTGGAAAAACAGATACATTAAAATATAATAACACAAAAATCAATTTTTAATATTTAAGAGAAGTTTTGGAAAAACAAAAACTTTTAAACAAATTACAAAGTAATAAAAAATTATGAAAACAACTAATTTTAATAAGAAAAAATAAAAATTATTTAATAACCCACCACATTTGTACGTGCTGTTCTCGGCAAACCACCGGCGGCGCCGGCAACAGGACCCCCACCACCAATGGCACCGGGTGGCAATGGCGCCACGCTGCCCGGTGGATAATCAAAGAAATATTCTCCATCATAGGTACGATAGAAATCTTCATAATAAGAATCTGGATAGGCACCGCGATAATCCGAATAACCATAAAAGTCATATTCATAATCTATAAAAGTTTTTTTTGTTTTAGTTTTTAAGGAAGGATAAACAATAGTTGTTTAGGTTTGTTTTTGTAATTTTTTTGTATGGTTTCGTGTTCGAGAGGGGGAAATCATAAAAATGAAAGAAATTTTGGAAGCCAAAGTTAAAAACACAAAATTGCAAAAAAATTAAATATGTGAAAAAAAAAAAACAAATTAATAAAAAAACCGTTATAAATCAACTTTATAAAAACAAACATATTAAATTAAAACACTGAAAATTTACTTTACTACAACTAATAATTCAATTGTTTTTTTTTCTTCTTAAATTTATCGCGTTTATTAAAAATCATCCCAACAAAGTGATAAAAATGTATGCTTAAATATATGTATACTTTAAAATGACCAGACTATGAAAGTGTTGCTATACCGAATGTACATACAAATATATTATCTTTGGTTTAAACGTCTAAAGCTATCTATTTTTTTGAATTTCAGGGGTGAATTTGGAAGGAGTATTGTCGTTTTAAATGATTTATTGGAAAACTATTAGATATTTTATCAGGAAAGTGATTTCAGTAAACTATACAACTGAAATAATCAAAAAAGAGAATTGGATTATTATACAATTTGAAGTAATATAAGGTTTCTAGGACTATTTTTGAAGGACAGAATTCATAATCTCTTCTTTCGGAAGTTGTTTTATGGTATTATAGATCAAAATCACCTTAAAAGCTAGAGATTAGACTGCAGCGTCCGGTAAAGAGGCCCACAAAAGTTGGATTTAAAAATAGGATGTGTCGTTGTTCATTGCGATTACTGATGGGGAGGAAACGTTTACTTTGTTAAAACTTAAAAAAAACTGGACTAAATTTTGATCCATTATTATTTTGGTACCTTTTTGAGGTACATTGCATACTTTTTTTTAAAAAAGTCTGTAAAACGTAAAGTAATTTATTATCGCGATCTACTCAATAATGTTCTTAAATATACATTTTTATCACTTTGGCTTGATTAAAACTAACTAGAAATAAATACTAAACAAAAATCAAAACTACTTTCAAAACGATTTACTATAAAATAATGAAATTATATGCTTTGCTTAAGGACTTAGGGTGAGTACAAAATATTGTATTCTCTTCTTCTTCTTTCAGTCTTCAAAACAACGGGGAAAGGTGGGATAACTTGGCTTTTGTTTTACAAAATTCAAATAACAATCATTTGGCCTTGATTTTCATTTGCAGGATGGATATTTTGTTTACTTTGAGAAAATAAGTCAAATAGAAAACTAAAAATTTAAATTCGGGAAAAACTAAGTGGCTTGAAAACAAAACAACAATATTTTGATTGTGTGAAATTTTTATTCCATTTACAATTCAGTAGAAAAAACAACAGAGTTTAAAGAACCAAACTTTTTGGGAAAAAGTAAAAACACAAAATTAGTTTAAAGAACAAACGAGTGCTCAAAATGTTGAATTACTTTCTTTCGATTTTGATTGTATGATATATATATAATATAGAAATATATCATGACAACACTTCACACCATAATTGTGTTTTTATGGTAGGAGACACAACAAAAATTACTTACCGGCAAAACATCAATAAGTATACTGGGTGTTTAACATTTGCTACACAGAGAACAAACAACAAACACAAAATTGCAACATTTAATTACACAAAAAATATTTATATATTTTTTTTGTGAATAGATTTCATTATGATTTGCTGGATTTGGTTTTTTTTTATTTTTAATTTGGGTTTAGGATTTGATTTTAACGGAAAATGAGCAGTGTATTTTTCTTGAGTAAATATTTTGCAGACATAAATGGAATAAAAATTAACACTTAAGTGATTTGTTTTCTCTTTTTTTTTTCTTTTTGATAAAAATTTAGTAAATATAAAGTAACAAAATTTGAGCATGCAAATTAAGAAATTGGAAAACAGATGATAGTTTTATGACAATCGATGATTTAGTTTTTTTTTGCGGTGTTATGGTAAAGAAAATAAAATGATAATTAACTGAGAATGGATGAAGAACAAAGATGAATGAATAAAGTTTTACAACAGTGCAAAAGTTATTTAAAATACATTTATGACAAAGAAATACAACATTTCTAATTATAAGAGAATAGAATGTTAATGAAAAGCATACAACAATGAATTTCATATTCTTTTTAAATTTTGAATGATTTAATAATTGAAAATAAAAAAAAAAATAACTCAAAGAAACACAACAAAATCAATAAAATGCATAAAAAGCTGAAACGTTATCCTTAAACTTATTAAACAAATAATTAAATAATTGAAATCTAAAAACTAAAATATTTCTAATGTCTATAAATAAAGTTATGTTTTAAAATAAAAAAATAATAAAAAGGAGCCCTATATAAAAATTGAAATAATACTAATGTTTCTTTTGTAATTAAGGAATCATATTGAAACTAAAAAATATATAATAAATATATCAACAGCAAAAATATAACTAAAAACTATAATTAATTATCCTATTTTGTTTTATTGTTTACAAAAGATTTTTTTGATTCAATATTGAAAATCAAATTAAATATATAAGATTTTTGTATTAAAATTTCCAATAATTTAGCACGTTTTTCTTTTTCTTCTTCTTTTCTTGCTTATTTGTAAACGTAGTCAAGGAAATATGTTTTTTTTTTTTGTTAATATAAGAAAAAATGTTAAGACTTACCATAGTCCCTGGGCATTGAAGTGCGTAACGGAATCCTTGGAGCACCGGGTAAACGCATAGGCGTAGCTATGGGTATCATGCCAGGATGTGTTGGTGATAGATTTCTGTATGGAGACAATGTTTCAAAGCTTTGTTTTAAAATCACACACGCACATCATAAAAACAAAAATATGTATATATTATGATTTTGTTTTTTGTTTAGATACAAAAATAGTCGCACAGTTGGTGATTGGTAGTAGAGTGGATATTATTTTTTTGTTGTTGTTATCGGTAGTAGAGTGGTTGGTGGTAGTAGTAGTAATAGTAGGCAGAAGTCACAACAATCGTTGGCAAATAATAAAATGGTGGCAGTAGTATTGGTATATATTCGGTTTTTGTTCATTAATAAACGGGCAATAGAATGAAAATAATAAAAAAAGAAAAAAAAAGGATAAAATAAATTAATAAAACAATTGTGACTATTGAAAAAGGATTTACATACATTAATAGTAGTGTTGCACAGGAAAGAAACATAATGAAATGTAAAATTGGACCGAATTTATGTAATTGTATACCTCTTAGTTTTACAATATTAAGCAAATATGATCAACTTCTACTGTAGTGCACAGTTGATAGTCCTTTTCTGAACGCTGTAAATGCTATCCTTACATTAATTTACAAAATATTATAAATTCAATTTCAAAAATCTAAAGACTTTTGATGAATTTAAATATGACTATATATGATATTTGTTTGCGAAAGATGATTTGCGTTCACAAAAAAGAACCATATATGTATTTAGTTTATTGGGGTGTAGTATCAGTATTGAACAACAAAATTGCTTTTATAGAGATTACATTTTTTTTGCGTTAACTAAGCAATTCTTAATATTGTAAATGGTAAAAGTCATACAAATTTTAAAGGGGATTGGAGCCAGATTATTTAATTTTGGTCGAAATGTCATTTGTCAATGTCAAGTTTCGTTTTAGGGTTCTTTTAATTCTTGTTATATGCCAAATTTTCTTGAATTTTGATGCTTCATTGTGTTTAAGTGTATATCGTAATCTAAAATCTATATATTTTTAACCTACCCTACAAGACCGGGACGTCCTTGCATCATTTGCATCATACGGCGTTCACGTGCACGCAATATTTCCTCCTTTTTCTTTTTATCCGATGGTGGTTTTGCCAAAGATACCTAAAATATTCAGAATAATATATAAATATATACTTAGTATTCTACAATAGTCACTAGCATACCTCCATATTAGAAGCACCAACTTCTTTGCCATTCAATGCTCTCATTGCCACAACAGCGCTATCACGATCCTCAAAATGCACAAAAGCATAGTCTTTAATTTTCTTAACACGTTCAACTTTGCCATATTGCTCAAATTGTTCCTACGAAAAAAACAAATAATAATAACATGACATTAAAGTATTTACTAAGGAGATAAATAATACAGGGTGAAACGAAAAAACTGCAACCAACTTCTGCCATTTCTAAGCCACTCGTCCGACAGCTATTAAAATTATCCCAGTAATAGCTCATTATATTGTTTACAAGCGTACAAAACATTTTGGTGAGAATTTTCCAGAAAAAAAAAACGTAGTCGTGATGGAATTCAAGCGTGATGGAATTCGTGTGATTTCTTTATATTTGGCTGGAAAACCATAAGTGGCTATCGTTAGAGCACTCCAGCATTTAAATGTGAATAAATCTTTTGTGTCTCGTACCATCGCTCGTTACCGTGATACTGGTAGCGTAGCCCGACGTCAAGTAACAAACAAAATTATCGTGTTTACTTGCCAAGGAGGTCAGCTGAAAATGTGCACCTTCGGTTGGCCACCAGAACTCAAGCGCTGGCCATGGTGATTATGTAGGCCGCCATAACAGCCGATTGTCGTCTTCCGCTCGTATTAATCGACCGTGGCATTAGAATAAATGTCGAATATTATCGCGAAAATATTCTGGAGGGTGTATTAAAACCTTGGGCACGCAAACATTTTGGCCGCAGACCTTGGACATTCCAACAGGACTCAGCACCATCGCAATCAGCAGGCGCCACCCAAGAATGAGGTGCCTCACTTCATTTCCAGCGCACAATGGCCACCAAAATCTCTGGATACCAATCAGTTACACTATTGAGAATGGAGTATTTTGGAAAGCAATGTCGATCACATTCAAGCAAGCGCTTCGCTGGGAATGGGTCAAAATACCGCAGAGCAACATTCGGGCAGCGTGTGACGGTTTCATTGGCCGTTTGAAGGCTATAATTCGTGCCAAAGTTGACCAATTCGAACAATATTTTTTGCTCTTATTCAATATAATAAAAAAAAATGTAAAAATTATGGCGTTTGACTTTGTTGCAGTTTTTTATCTCACCCTGTACTATCCAAAGTAATGAATTCATATTTTAAAATACTCTTAAGGACATACCTTTAATTTATCTTCTGTAACATCCTGTGTTAAGTTTCTAACGTACAAGACTTTAACTTTGGACATTGTTTGTTCATCCGGCTCCTCCTGTGGATCTGCCCAATCGACAATAATATCACATCCCCAAACCTGTGTAGGAAAAGGAAAAATTAATTAGTATTTAATTATTTTTGTATTTACTTGTAATATTTATCCAAAACTTACCTTAGTTCTACCAGTGCCAAGTCGCCGTTTGGCTAATGAAGCGGCTTTGTGTGATTCATATTCAAGGAAACAGAAACCACGATTCTTCTTCTTATCATCTGGTGAACTATAGATTATAACTTCAATAAGGCCGGCTAATTTGGAAACAATGCAAAAATAGTCAAAACAAAAAAAGGAAAGTTATTGTCGGGGAAAACAAAAGTATATCTTATGAAAAAGTTTTAATTTTATTTAGGTGTGTATAAACTAAAAAAACACCAACAAAAAATACAACAAAAATTCTTTAAAGTTTTAAAATTTAGATTTGCTCTATCAAGCGAGCGATAGTAGGAAATTGTTTTCCTCAATTTGAAAATATTTTTAATTATTTAATTTCATTGATTTAAAAATATATATGTTTAGTTGTTTTAAAACCAATGCCAAAAACGCCTTTTTCTTTTGATTTTGATAAATTCCGACGATTTCTTTTTGTATTAAAAATTATTGTGTTATAATTTTAAAGCAACTTAAAATTAAAACTTGGAAACACTTATTTATAATTTGTATTATAGTTTTTTTATAGTTCTTTGTACATTGTTTAGGACTTGGTTTAGTTTGAAATTTATAGATATATATTTTTTGGTTTTAAATTGATAACACCAAAGAAACAAAACATAAAATACACATAGAAAATTATAAGACATATGGAATATTGTAAAAAAGAAAACTTATATACTTAACCACAATTAAAACACATTTATTTCAGAAGACAAGTATAGAGAAATGTTGAGAATAAAAGTAGATGGTATATATTGTATATAGTTGTAGTTTACATAGTATTGAAAGTAAAAGCAAATAATTTTTTTTTTGGAATTTTGATATTTTCTTAATCGAAGTGGTGTAGATAGAATAGTCTTATAGTTTACCAATGAAATAGATATAGATATATGTAATTTCATTAGACGTTTACTTGAGAGGTGAGGTGGGGAAAAGATATATTTTAAGTTGTTTGAAGTTGAGATTTTGAAAAATATGTAGTCCTTTGTTGTTGGGAGTATTTGATTTGCTTAATTGAATGTTGTCTCCAGTCATTATCATTAATTCATCTTCTTTTTACTGCTGTGTGCATCGATCGAAATTCGATTTTGATTGTAATATACAAAAAAACAGGACTTGTTTTATAGGAAATAAAATAATTTGTTTCTTTTTTTTTTTTTTTGTAGAGGGAGAGGGAAACTCTTGCTCCAAATAAGATGAGGCTAAAACGCTTTAATAGCAATTATTATTCTAGAGCTAGATCCAAAAAAATGGTCCTGTAAAATTTTTAAGACGAATTAGAAATGGGTTTTTCGAAGAAGACGTGGACCTGCAAAGACAATTTTCTGTCAAAGGCTGTAGCATCCATTACGAACATCAAATCCCGGAAGGTACCGTTATATGGGGACTATACCAAAACGTGGACCTACATGGCTCATTTTCAATACCAAAAGTCCTGCAGACATTATATACATTTGAGTAAAATTTTATCAATCTGCTTCATTTCGTTCGGAAGCTAGAGTGATTTCCACAGATGGACAGACGGACGGAAGGACAGGGCTGCATCGTCTTAAAATTTAACGCGGATCAAGAATATATATACTTTGTGTGGTCTAAAATGTATACTTCGAGGTGTTCCAAACGGAATGACAAACTTAATATACCCTCCCATACTATGGTGAAGGTTATAAAAAGAATTTTGGATAAATCGAAATGAAGCCTACTTTTAGGCGAAACAAGTTTTATACAAAATAATATGCTGAGAATTTCGATTTCAATTTACTATTTTTATAAAATTGTTGAAACTATTTGTAAAAGTTCAATGTGAATTTATAAGCTTTATTGTTGTAAATTTATTATTTTGAAAAAGCGTTTTAACCTCTACCTTAAATTAGGTTTATTATCAGGTGAAGATTATATTTCAAAATTGTTTTATTTTATGTACATAACTTTGGTTTGCTTTTGAAGACAAAAAAGATTAGAAGAGAGGGGGCAAGGCAAAAGAGATAGAAAGTAAACCCAATAATAATTGTATTTTTTAATTTTGTTCAATTTTAATTTCTTACCAGTTTTGTTAACATTTTTGTTACTGTAGCTCTTCAATTGTACCAAAAAAGTCAACATTGAATTGCATTTTCTAAAATGAATTAATTTCATAAAAAATATACTCTTATTTTTAAAAGCGAATTTGGCATTTGGTTTTTTGTTTTTTTTTTTTATTATATGATAAATTTCTTAATAGTTTTAAAATTTAATTTTCATTTTTTACAAACAAAAATTGTCAAGCTACAGAGTTAGTCAGAGGAATGGTAGCAAAAAATATTTTCAATTTTTTCTTATTGTTGTATTTTTTGACTTGTTGTTTATAATTACGAAAAGATAATGGGAAATTAATCTTGAATATATAAACAACAAAAATTCCAATCACAAAATTTCATCTTTCTCGATTTATTTTGAAAAGAATAATAGTTTCTTTTTGATTTTCCTAAAGAAAGGCTGGTGTTGAGGACTAATGGAAAAAATATAATTTTCACCTGAAGATGAAGATTTTGTAAGTAGAATTTTTATGTTCATGTCCCAGATAATTAATATATGAGTGGAAAGCGAAAATTGCAAAATTTTCACAAAAATCCAATTATTCATTCGACCAATTGGCTTCACATTTCTTGTTTTTTTTTATTTGTTACTGTTTTTTTTTAACATTTATGCAACTTACGCTTTATATAACCAAATTGTATTACCAATTATATTTGATACTGTTTACCAATTTATTTTCACCGATTAAAGAAGTTAGGTTTGATTTACACTTTTTTGTTTTTGAAGGGTAGGGGGTTGGTGGGTTAATTTATTTATTATTTTGTGGGGGGAAAGTATTGTTTTTTTTTTATTTTGTCCTGTTCTTTCTTTTTTCTTCTTTGAGATATTAAATGTTATAATTTTTCAGTTTTTTAGATTTTGTCTTTTTTTTTGTCAAAATTCACCACTTACGTGCATGTTTAGAAAATTCCTCAATTAATTCATCATGATCTCTATTCTTAGGTATATTGCCGACAAAAAGCCGGTGATTATTAAATGATATCGTAACACCAATCTTTTTGCCTTTCCGAATTTCATAATCATTCAGCTGGAAATTGTTAAAAAATTGTAGCAAATACACAACAACAGATACACAAAACACACAAAGAGAGGGGGTGGTGGTGGTGTTGGGGGGAGAGATATATTATGCACAAAAACAAAAACTAATCGCCTTAGAATTTCCGTAACGATTAAGTTAGTGTTTTGACCTTCCCATTAACGCAAACAATTCGAAATACTTAATAATTTATTTGAAATATTTAAAAAAAATATTTCAGTCGAAATTCAAATAAAAAAAGGTTTCAACCTTAACTTTAGATTTTGACAAATTTTCCATCAATCACTGAATAATTTGCAACATTTAAATATACATTGTTTTTTTTTTTTTTTTTTGAATTTTAAACTGACTAATTTTGAAAAATCTGTGAGAAAATGGAAGGGGTGTGCAATCGTTTTGTTTCCAATGGACAAATCGGAATTTTTTGGTAATGATATTTACGTGCCAAATAATAACGGAAAATAAAATATGTATATATTCAGAAATATTATTAAAATAAATTTCGATCTCCTTTTTTTTGTCAAACCTACTAAATTTTTTTTACAATAGTTTCAATAATATAGTATTGAAAGATTGTTTTCAATGAAAATAAATAAATTAAAATAAATATTTTTTTTTTTTTTGGAAAATTAAAAACACAAAACCAAAATTCGAATATCTACAATATTGATATTGAAATTTAGAAGTTAATTTTAGTAAGAAAGTGCGTTTTTTTAGATGTGTTTATATATTTTTAAAAGGCAAATTGCAGGGGAATATACTAATTTTAACTTAATAGAAAAACTGTTAGTTTTGGCATTTATCGAATACTAAATTTCGACCATTTAAAATAACAAATTATAATTAATATTAATGACACAGCCCATGTTTGTGGAAGTTATGTCATTTGTTTTTGAATTCGTAACTTTGACCCTATGGTAACGTCTCATCAGGGTGAGATGGAAAAACCAACTTCAGCCTGCTGTCATTTCTAAGCCACCCGTCCGACAGCTGCTAAAATTATTCACGTGATAGCTCATTATATTGTTTACAAGCGTACAAAACCATTTTGGTGGGAACTTTCCAGTAAAAAAGTTATTCGTGATGGAATTTAAGGGTAATAGGGTGATTTCTTTATATTTGACTGGAAAACCACAAGTGGCTATCGTTAGAGCACTGCAGCATTTAAATGTGAATAAATCTTTTGTGTCTCGTACCACCGCTCGTTACCGTGATACTGGTAGCGTAGCCCGACGTCAAGGAAGTGGACGGAAGAAAACAGCAACATCAGCAGAAATGGTTCGAAAAGTAAAGAACTTACACCGCAACAGAAAGAAAAAATAACTAAAAAGAGCTAAAGAGTTGCTTCGCTTGACCGAAAGAGGTGAACTGCCGAATTTGGTTTTCTCCGATGAGAAAACATTCGTTGTCCAACAGTTTGTAAACAAACAAAATTGTCGTGTTTGCTGAAAATGTGCACCAAATGCCGAATATTATCGCTAAAATATTCTGGAGGGTGTATTAAAGCCTTGGGCACGCAAACATTTTGTCCGCAGACCTTGGACATTCCTCGCTTCATTTCCGCGCACAAAGGCCACGAAAATCTCCGGATACCAATCCGTTGGACCATTGTATCTGGAGTATTTTGGAAAGCAAGGTTGGCACTAAAAAATACCAAATGTCGATCACCTCAAGCAAACGTTTCGTCTGCAATGGGCCAAAATACCGCAGAGCAACATTTGGGCAGCATGTGACGGTTTCATTCGCCGTTTGAAGGCCATTATTCATGCCAAAGGTGAACAAATCTAAACTTATCTTAAAATTTGATGCTATTTCTGACATTTTTTGTTTTAATTCAATAAAATTTAAAAAAATAAAAAACTATGGCGTTTGACTTTGTTGAAGTTTTTTATCTCACCCTGTATATTTTTAAATGAACAGTAGTATAGTATAAAATGTATTTCTAACCGGAAAAAATTTTTTTCAGTAGCTGGTATTTCAATGCCATCGAATCCCCACCCTGGTAAGGACTATGGAGAGTGCACGAACCCTTCGAACCTCCACGGTCGGTTGAAATGAGAATTTTTTATTTTATTTTTTTTTTAAACGAACTGTCAAAATGTTTGCCTCACATTTGTGTTTATTTAGCAAGTTCTTTGTTAAGTCTTAACTTCATCTAGAGACTTAGTAATGTATACGAGAATTATTACGAATTTATAAACGATCAATGTTTTCTTAGAAAAACAACGTTAATACATTCCACCATACAATTTGCCAGAAAAAAATATAGTTATTAATAAGGTAAGGCAATAAAAAACATACTATGTATGATTTAGTCTAAACTGTGTACAGTACGTGATATTTTGATTTAGAATAGAATACAAGTTATATATATTTATTTTAATTCTCATACAAAAGTTAATGACTGGAGATTTGTAGAAATACTATTATGCTTATCGGTTTATTGTGAATGGTCAAATGAAATAATTTGGAACATGTAGGAATTAAGAACTTTAATAATTATTAAATAATAGATTTTAAAAATGTAATAGTTTTATATTTTGTTTAAACATCAATTATTGAATGAATATGATGTGTAAAATATGCTTACAAAATGTAATTTTTGAAAGTGAATCAACAATAATAAGAACATAATACAGATGGGTTATCAGTCCCGTTTAAAAAAGGTTAACGAAATGTTCTTTTTTAATGCATAAATAATTTTAATATTAAAGGATACAAAGAAAGTTGAATAAAGCACTGGGAGTATTTTTGTACATACTTTATCATTGCAATCCCAGACAAAAAATCACTACAAATCGGGTTAGCCCCCACTTTTTAAAAATGGCAGGTCCTAGAAAATAGGCTGTAATTTTTTTGGCCACCAAAAATCGTTAATGTATATATAAAGACTTTTAGTGGCAGATAACTAATTATTTTGTACGATATGTTCTTGTTAAAATAATGGGTTGGCAACCCGATTCCTGGAATATTTGTGCTACGCTTAAATATTAATTATTGTTTTTTTTTTAACAAAAACGTAGCCCAAATTACAATGACGATGTGAAAAATATTGCCCTACACTTATCTCATTCTATTTAGATACAATGAAATAAAGTAGAACGCAGAATTTGAAAAGATAGTCTCGGAGTAATGGATTAATGTTTTGGTGCAAATGATAATATTGATGTTATGCGTGAAGTATAATAATTTATTAGGAAAGTAATATATAAATTATAATGTTTATGTACACATATAATAAAGCATAACTGAAAATATTTTATTGGCAAAAAAAATTGTAATTTGAAAGGTCGTACACAAAAAGAATAATTTTACACTTTCTTCAGTCTCTCCTGAATATCCTTCTTTCATTTGACGTCAACATAGAATTTGTTTTGTTATATATGTTTGTTCCTTAATTTGAAAATTATAATCATTAGAAATAATAGAGGGAAAGAAACTGCAGTGCATCATGACATCTCCTATGTTTACACAATCCTCACCAGGACACACAATTTTGAGGCTATGTCCACACTTGCATTTACCATTATAAAAAAGCTTCATAATAATTGATTTCTTATAATAAAGAAATTACCATTATAAATGGCTTCAACGTAGAAGTAGCTTAAATTGAATTTAAAAAGCACAGCATACTTTTAGGCTAAAATTCAACGTAGACTACAGAAGAAACGAACCCGCCCAGAGCCAATTGGTTTTTTGTTAGCCAATTACAAATACATTATAGCCAATTGGATTTTTGTTTTATATGCCAATTTGCGTACAATAAATATTATTTTAACGCTTACCATTATCATTATTATCATGGATATTCTTATCGAAATAACATGAAAATCCATGACAATTGTTAATTTTAATAATTTGAAAAAAAGAAGTTATAGAATTTTGTATTCATAAATTTACCTGTTAATTTACCAAATTCCTCTAAAATCTCCTCTTTGCCTTTTGATTTGGGTATATTGCCTACAAACAGGCGCAGGTTGGGCACACTTATATTAATTTTCAGACACTTGCCGGGTTTTATTTCATGATTATCGAGCTAAAGTTACATATTTTGGGGAAAGAGAAAAAGAGTGTGGGGAAAAACAATAATAATAATGGGATTTCTTGATGTTGGATATAATTGTGTTGTAACAAAAAAAATAAAAACTTAAGTAATTAATACATTGAGGAAATTAAAAAATATTAATGAAGATCAATTTTAAATATGAAAATAAATGTAATAAAATAGAGTGAAAATGTGTAAGATTATGAAAAAAAGATGATTTTACAAATTATACAGGAAATTACTAAAAAAAAAATAAATTAACTACAAATATAATAAAGCAAATATGTCAATTCTATTTCAAGAACCTAAGAAAATTCATCTTTTCAGATTACATTTATTCAATATATTCCCCTCATTGAATCGAGAGTAACATTGAAGATCCAATTCTAAAAGATTCGATTGATGCCATACGAAGACGTGGACCTGCACCGACAATTTTCTGTCATAGGCTGTAGTATTCATTACGAACTTTAAACACCAAATTTGAAACACTTCCGGTGAATAATGTCGCTAAAATTATCAAAATGCCGAATATCGGGAGGTACCGTTAGGTGGGGGCTATACGAAGACGTGGACCTACACACTACGAACTTCAAGTACCAAATTTGAAACATTTCCCGTGAAATCATAAAAATACCGAATATCGGGAGGTACCAATATATCGGGGCTATACTAAAACGTGGACCTACATAACCCACTTTCAATACCAAAAGTCCTGCATTTTACATTTGAGTAAAATTTTATCAACCTACTTCACTTCATTCGGAAGCTAGAGTAATTTCCCTAGATGGACAGACGGATGGACATCGCTATGAAGGCATAGAATTTTATGCTAATCAAGAATATATATATACTTTGTGGAGTTTAAAATGTATATTTCAAGGTTTTACAAACGGAATTAATATACCTCCATCCTATGGTGGAGGGTATAACAAATATTTTCAAAGATATTTCAAAAGACTGTTCTCCTTTAAGTTAGGCTGCTATTTTGTGTGAGGGAAACATGTTAGTTTAAAAGATCTGCCTTACGTTACGTCATTGACTAATTTGTAAATAGCTGTCATATTAAAGCGGTCTGTTGATAAAGCAGTGTTATTCATTATTCTAATATCATGTTATCACGAAGCAAATTGTGCATTTAATTTAAGAAATCAGCACTTACTTCAACCCAAACTAACTGGACAATTGAACTGAAAACTGAAAATTGTCTATAGACTGTCATAATAAATTCCCAATAATGTGTGAAATGTTATGACTTCAATATGTAATCTAATATTTTTAACTTAGTACAATAGGTATGAATATTTCCAAAAAAAAAAAAAGTTATTTGTACTGCAAATTTAAAATATATATCATTTTACAAATCAGCTGATTATACAATTGACATATTTGCTAAGAGAAGAAAAAATGTATAACCAAAACAATATAAAATAAAATTAATGTTAAAGGATATAAAAATGGAAGGATGGTGCTTTTTTGTTTTTGTATTTACCAATTTTGAATTTTGAAGATTTCTAATGTTCCGAAAATTTTGCAGCGATTCCAAAATATTTTTTTTTACAATTTTTTAATAAAAAAAATGCAATGTTAACACGTGTAAACTAACTTAAACATATGATTAAACGAAGTGGTGATAGGAAAATGGAAGAAAATGGAAAATTAAAGAAATTTGGTTAGATTTTATAGGGGAGGGCATGCTCGTTTTTTGTTTCATCAAAACGCTTATAGTAAAATAAAACCAGACAAATTAAACTAACAGCTGAAAATGTAGACAAAAACTGTCTTTAACTACATGAATAGGAGGCAATGACACGATGACAAACAGATTAAGGAAAAATATGCATTTTTGTTATCTGTTTTCAAATCAAACAAAGAGAAGACTGAAATATGAACGCTGGAGAAAAATGGAGGTGAGTGAGATGGAAATGTTAGGTAAACTCAGCTACTACAAAAGTTTTCAATAATAAAGAAAAAAAAAAAACGTTTTTTTTTTCGAACATCCATGTGACTTTTGAAAACAGTTTAAATGCGACGAAATGCTATGGTGGAGGTGGAATGAATGCAAAGAGGAGCGAGAAAAAATGTAGAGTTTATTACATAATAAATTTTCCTTGCGCCATGATAAAAATAAATTTAGAATTTTATTGTAGTTGTTGGTAGCCCATTTGATTTGTAATGTAAAATTCTGCTACTGGCATTCTGTATAAATAACCTAAAATTGTGCCCAAATGTACGAAGAAATAACAAGGACTTGGAAGTGAACAAAAAAAAATATCATTGTTCGTCGTCATCGTCGTTTTCAATGATCCTTGTTACAAGAATAATTGTGCAAGTAGTAGAAAAAAATATGTATATCTTATAAATTAAGGGGAATATACAGTCTTAAATAGGATACTATTCTGAATGTAGTATGTGATGAATTAAAGTGAACCTTTAAATTTAATTGTTTCTCTAATTTATCACATACCATGTAAATTACGGGATACGATACAATACAAAAAAGGGAGGGGTTTAAACTAAGTAGTAAAAATTAAAAATGCAAGAGGAAAGGTTTTGTGTAATTTTTTGACTATCAAAAGGAATTAGAGTTGTTTTGGTTTTTGGAATTTTGGGTATTTTTTTTCGAGAGAGACTTCTTTTCAAACCGCAAAAAAATTGTTCATTGTTTTAAATATTTCAAACATAGATTTAGTTTCATAAAACTTTTCTTTTTTTTTTTTTTTGATCTATATAACTTGGGAGAAAAAATCTCATGCAACTTGCATCAAGCCAAAAAAATGTAGAATATCAACAACTATTAAATGTTTAATGGCTCAGTTATGAATAATAGGAATACATCATTCATTATGGAGCTTCCATTACCATTCATAATCAAGCCATTGCATGGATTCTTTTCAAACTAAAAGTTTGCTTCTTGTTATAATAAAAATAAGCTAAATAAAGTATACAAAATTTCATGTAACATGTAAGCATATAAGAAGCTTGTAGTAAAACAAAAAGAAAAATAGTTTGTATTCCAATTGAAGATCGTATAGAGTTAGATACCTAAAATACTATTTTAAATACAATTAAATATTACATTATTTTATTTTTTTCTATAGAAATAACCAATATTTGTATGCCTAAACAAGCCAAATATGTAGAATTGTTTAAAAAATGAAACCTAAAATATCAATTATTATAATAAATAATTTACTGAACTTCTTATTGACAATGCATTTTACAATTGTAGCAAAAAAAAACAAATAGTTACAGTTATAGGAACGTGGCAAAGATTTATACATATATGTAGGAAGAAGGAGGAACGTAGTGACAGAGATCGAGAGTTATAAGGTTCTGAATTAAAGTAATTGATATAAATACCTGTTTAACGGCATTCGATGCAGCTTCTCTTGTGGTGAATGTTACAAATGCATAGCCACGATTTGTACCGGTCATGGGGTCCATCATTAATCGTAGATCCCAGATGGTGCCACAGTTTTCGAACAGGGGTATGAGTTCATCTTCAAACATATCTTTTGGTATTTTCCCACAAAATACCTCGCAACCGTTACCTGGTACTGGACCATCCCAATTGGGTGGTGGTCCACCATATTTGCGCTGGCCTATACAAAAAAGGAGAATTGTTGGTGATTATAGGCTACACTAGAAAACATGTCCACTTATTAAGTACGCATTTGAAACATCAGTCGACTACCCAACATTCATAAAAAGTTAAGTGTATGACGTAATTAATTATCGCAAAATTTCATTATCGATAATATATACTCTACTTAAGGTAGAGTTATTTATTCAAATTTGTGATGTTGCAGATGAATTTATTTAGCAAAAGAAACAACTAGAAATGGATCCAGCTCCTTCGTAAATCTCTTTTTTCTAACTTCATTGGTTCCGATTATAACTCTTTTTGTTTTGAGTTGAGTTTATTAAAAGGCAGTATCAAGTCTTTCTGAGAACCAAACTTGTATTTTTTGAAAATATTAAGTATAGTACGACAGTAATAAAATATGTTCGCTAGAGTGTACCATAACACTGTTTTCTACTTACCCGTGGTTACATCTAAAGTATAACCGGTACGTTCTAAGATTTTTTTGATTTTTTCCTCATCTGGTCCTTTAACTTGCACTGTTGTGGCTGGTGTCGGTACACCCTGTTGACTGGCTCGACTTTTTTGTCGATAGGTTTTCATAACCCCACATAAATAGGCAGATTTATTCGATACATGTTCCAAATTTGATTCAAGGAACTGACTTAATACATTCAAGGCACCATCAACCGGAAACTCTTTGAGCGCATCCAGTGCGCGTTCATCTAATTCTACATGGGCGAGTTTACCTGTTTTATAAATATCATCAAGTTTACCGGCAACCTAGAAGAAAGTTGAAGGGATATTTAAAAAATAGATTAATTAAAAGTATATTAAGTATGGCACTTCTGTCTTTTTACTTGATTAAAAACTTTCTTAAATTATTCAGAAATCGGACAGAGCTAGTTTCTGGAAAGAAAAATCGAGGCCCTGTTTCCGTGTGTCGATACGAAAGTGAATGCGCAAGAAAAACACCATTCTCATGTGTTTGTGGAACTTATTGGAATGGTGTTTCTTTCGCATGGACATACAGAAACAAGCTCAGAGTCTTCAAAAAGGAGTAAATGATTAAAATCGTTTTACTATTCAGATACTTCACTTACTTTTTTATCTAAGCCATATTCCAACAGTTTTGGGTAATCCTGTGTTCTTTCACCATCACCACGATCTTCTGATTTTTGATTAATATCTTCTACCAGTTCGCCATTGCCTTCCGCCATTTCTACAAAAAGAAGAAAATAACGTCAAAATTTAAATTTTTATTTATATATTTATTTATTTTTTTATTAAAAAAATAAATGCGTATAACTTATATTGACATTAAATATTGTCACTGACCAATTGTAGATAGGATAGAGCTAACAAAAAAAACCTGATAATCTCCTCTTGTTACATGCTAAGTTATTTTGAATTTATAATATGTAACCTCAATGACCCGAGCAAAATGAGTTCATTTAATATCGGTTTCCTGTTGCCATTGCCTCGATTTTGCACGATGCTTAATGGAAATTTCAGACTGCATATGGCCGACTTCTAAAAAATTGTAATTTGTCAATCAAAATTTGTTTTGTAAACACATGAAGCATTGCAAATCATTAAAACAACAAAACAGAAAATACTTAACTCACAAATATCACCTTGAAAGTTCGTTGAACGTTAAAAATTGCACGTTGAGAGTACATATAAAAACAACAACAAAACAAAGAAATTTTTCAGCTAAAATTGTTATATTACCACGATCATTAACATATGCACACACACATGCAAAGCAGAAAACCAAAGCAAACCCCCCCCCACTTCATCACTACCAGGCACAGGACGGCGGGCATGGTCACCCCAGAGTGTGAGGCAAATTACGAAGTGAATGGCCGACCACCGATTAGGCGAACTCTGCGTTTTTGCAAAAATAAAAATCTACTACAATTGTGTTGAAACGAAAACACGAACATCAAACAAAAATCGGCAAATCACCAAATGTCTGCCATTTGCAAAATGCATGAGTACAATGAACTCGCCTCGCTGCTGTTGGCTTCAGCATCATTTTCCTATTGAGTTAACACATGCTGCAACAAAATACAAGAAGATGCCGTCTGTAACATCTTTTGATTAGGAAAATGCCTTTAAACATCATTTTTATCATTTAACATTATTTCATAATACCAATCCTCAAGTGCTCTTTTAATGGTAATTAACCACAACCGCAGACAAGTAGGCATCAGACATTGTAAATGTTATAAAAAGATAAGAATATTCTTCAACAATAACCACATAAATACGTAAGAGAGGCGTCTTAAGGTTTTCACCAGTATTACCAATAAATAATAATTGTTTTCCAAAATATTTCATTCAATCAGTCTATGTTACAATTATATTACCGAATTAATATAACCCTGTCTTTTTGTTGTTATTCCTAATTTCAATCATTTGTGTGTTGCCCTGTTATCTCAAAGAGCATAAGTTCAAATACCCCAACTCATTAGACAAACGAGCTAAGCCAAAAATACATAATAATAGGCCTATAATAGAAAAAAAAAAACAAAAAAACAAAACCGGCGAAATTTGCAAACAAAACAAACTATAAGAAAATAAACATAAACAAAATAGATACAAAAAAAAAAAACTGCCTAACTTATAATACATGGCGGTGGGTGTGTAGCATTACGTCTCCCTCCTCACCGTTATTATTCTAATAAGAGTTTGGTGATTGACAAGAGAAAACACTAGACAGCCGAAGACAATCGGCCGTTTGGTTGGTATGTGTCAATAGATTGGCCATTATCAAACATAAAATGACGTCATAACAAATGCTGAATACATTTTAATAGTTTCTTTTTTTATACAATTGTTGTTGTTTGTTTTAATGTGTTAACTGAGTGTTGATGTCAGTGGGTCGATTGGTTTGTAGAGAGTGCAATTCACATAAGGAGCATTGATTCTATAGTATAATAGTAATCTAATTGTTGAGAAAATACATTAATTTTACAATGTCTAATTTAATATAATACATTTTTATAATAACATAATGTATCTTTAAATATTTTCTGATGAAAATTTACATGATTTATAGTTTTCTTATTACTCAAATGTAGGACAAAGCTATAAATGACATTTTGCTTTAAAAATGTTGTTGCACTGAGGAATGCTACCATGGCGTTGCCAACTTAGTAATCCTTATATAATAAAGCTGTACGGCCACACATATGTTTGTAAAATGCGTTTGACAAGAAGTAATTTCGGTGTTGTTTGTTTTATAATAATATAAAGTTTAAATATAATATCAACGTGGTAAAATAGTAGCCATATAAGTATAAGGCTTACAAAAAACTTTTAGAAAATCCCATTTATTTCTCTTTTGAAATTTTATAATTATTTTAAATGCACAATGCATATATTTTTAATACTACCTCATAAAGTTATCTAAATGTTTTCTGTTGTTGTTCTTAATTTATTTCATTTTTTCCCAACAATTTATTTTAGTATTCTCGCGCGCGTTTTATTCACTCTCGCACAGACACGTCATGACAACAATACACAAAATTTTCAATGTCAAACAAATAAAAAAATACATTCAAAAAAAAAGAAGACAAACACACATGTGTACATATATATCTGTATACATTTATAATATAGCGAGAGCGATAACGAAAGGCAGGCAAAACAGCAGTAACAAAAATATTTTCTAAAGAAAATAAAAGAAAACAAATACATATAAAAATTATAAATTGAAATTTCGAGAGCATCCACTAACAACAAATAAGAAAAGTCTGAGAGATACATTTTGATTGTTTATTGATGAATAATCGTTTGACAAGTAAAATAATTGATTTAGTATAATTTTATGAGACTTTTTTGAACTTATTCTTGGAGCGAACACTATTATATATGAAGGGTTAATTATTAAAATAATACTTTTCAAGTGCGCCCACACTTTAAAAATGGGATAGTCTACAGCAGTCCCAAAGAAGAAACAGCTGATTACAAAACAATATAAATTGCAGTTTATTTTAATGCAAATCATGACTCTTTTTTTATTAATTGACAGGAAAAGGTTTGTTTCAGTTAGGCTAAAATACTATTTGCTTTGACAAAATGTTTTGACACTTATAATTGAATAATGATGAAGTTAAATTTAATTCCACTGTATAGAAGATTTTATCGTTCTTATTTAAATTAACTACAGAGGAAGCATTATTACATATCGTTAATCGCTATTAAAAACAAGAAAGTCACAAAACCAAAGAAAAAAGTCTAAAGTGCTAAATTGTTGGGCTTTTAGACATAAAACATCTGTTTTATTAATGATATGTGACGTTTTAAGTACAGAAAAGGGTTTGAAGTCAAACAAAGCCATGACATTTGCGTTTCCAACATATGTTTGCCGCTAATCATAAAGGCACTTAGATAAATATTTTTCTCACTGAAATTTCTTATTGTAGCGCTGTTTATATCCACCATTTTAGTTTTGTAGCTATCAATTTAGTTTTTTTTTTAGAACTATAACTCAACTTGTGAAAATCATGTCATTAAACTACCTGTCCTCAATGTTGTGGAGTTGCCAATTGGACTAAAGTTAAAAGAAATACTTTTAAAGGTTCCAGGTCACACGCTCAATCCAAAACGGAATAATTAGAAAAGATAATTGTTTAGGAAAAAAAAAATCTTTCTAGTTCTACACGAATTTTGCATCCCAGAACATTTGTACATAATAACTGGTATATGCAGCATAATTATATATGCATACTCAAAGTGTCAAAAGAAATAAATTGTTTTTTTTTTTTTCAACAAAAAAATTCTTTTGTTTGTATTATGCAATATCTAGCTATGTTGGCTTGTTTGTCATTTTAGAATTTGCCAAATAAAAATATTGGCAAAAATTATACAAACACAAAAATAACAGGGTGCCGCCAAAATCGCTACCGATTTGACATTAAGAAAAAAAAACAGAAATTGGCATGGTTGCATGACCAAAGCCCCAACTCACTCACTCACTCGCTCGCTAACTGATTGACAATATGACTAACAATGAAGTATGATTGAATTAAATATGAAATCATTAGCAACAAATGCAAACAATATGAAACACATGCTGGTCTTTATCTTAATCTCTCTCGGTCTTGCGTACTCATACAAACACACATACTCGTATGTTTGTACATTTGAGCACATTCACAACAATTATAGATCAATTCATAAAAGGTATGTATGAATAATAAATAAAACCAACAATTCTTTATTTTCCATATAGAATTTAAGAAAAGTGAGGTTGAGGGGCGGGCGGAAGATTTGCCACACACATGTGTGCTAGCAAACTGTTATCTCACCTCAAACATGTTTAAAAAAAATCACAAACATTCATTGTTTTTTTTAGAAAATTGTGTTATACTGACCCATTTAGTCTTTTTATTTTCTCTCTCTGTCTCTTCTTCCCTCTCTAATTGTTGTTGTGTTAATTTATTGTTGATGTACCGTTAGAGAAGACTCGTTTTCATTTGATGCGAATAAGATAGAAATTAGCAACTTGTCACATCACCTGGTTAGATTGCTATTATTAATTTGTTAATCAATATAAAAACAAGATTAGTTTTGGGGTTATCAGGTATTAGGAACAAAAATAATAACAATAAATAAAAGCAATCAGCTGTTTGTTCAGTGTATGGGTTTTGACGTAATCGAATTGACCAGAAATTAAATAAGCGTATGTGTAGATCTGTATGTTTATGAACATTTTTAAACATATTTATGTTTCCGAAATCAAGAAAATTCCTACTCTCGTATAGATGTTTCCGAAATCAAGAAAATTCCTGCTCTCCAGAAATCACAAGAATTTACAGGTTTAGCATTTTGCTAATTTTTACTATAAGACGGTTTCTGCTGTCGGATATGCTGATTTGAAGGATTATTATACGGCTTTGATAAAAATTTTCGCCCTTTCTGGTTTAAACATTTTGTTAAAACCTATTTGTACGTGTTATCATATAAAAAGAATGAAATGCAGGAAATTACATTGACGATTTTTTAAGTTGGCAACTCTAACATTGTTTGTCATGCATTGCTAAGATTAATAAAAACAAAACGGTGTCGGGCCACATATCAAATCGGGCTGTAAAAAAATCTTTTAGAACAAAACATAGTCCGAATAAACATAAAGCATTAAAAAAACACACATTGATACACAACGAAATAAAAACTGATGGATTAAACTGATTTTTTATGTTATCATAT